AACTACATTGTGGTTATTAATTGAAAATAAATATCATAAACCAGACCATTGGTGGAAGGGAAAGCCAAATGACCAAATTGCAGCTGTTGGGAAATATTCTCCTGCTTCTCTTGAAATACTCAATATGAATATTTTACATGGGAAGTATCAGATTCTAAAGCAGACTAATATGCTGGGGAAGTAACATGGCTTATTTAAAACATTTTGGTCTTGGGCAATGTTTTTATTAAAGAAAAGTAGTGTGTTAGAGAGATGGTAGCTAGTGAAGTAGGACCTCTCATGGGACACAATTTGGGTGTAGCCTCTTAAGATTTCAGTTTCTAGTAACACATATGTGGGAACTAAAATTTTACCAGTCTTCCCAGGGATGATTTGTCTTGGGGGGAATGGATTTATGCCAACCAAATGAATGTACAAATACTAACCTCATGAGGAACCCTGGAAAAACCAGAATACCAATGTTCTAACTTACGGAGATGAATGTAACAGAAGACAATTTTAGTGGCTGATTATTTTTCTACTAGTTTAGGAGTCAGAGTGGTACCTCTTCACAGTAGCAAGGTACTAAATTAATTAATAGAATAGTCCTTCAGGAGCTTATAATTACAGCATAGGGAAATAGATGGTTTTCAGGCTATGGAAACATCAAACGAACCATTCTGTCCACAGAGGAGTAATCTTAAAGGTATGATAAAATCCTCTTAACTTCTTTTGGTCTACACTTCTGTCTTTTAAATGCTTCCTACGGGTGTGCCTGGGTGGCTCAGTAGTTAAGTGTCTGCCTTCGGCTCAGGTCATGATCCCAAGGTCCAGTGATCTAGCCCCGCATCGGGCTCCCTGCTCAGCGGGAAGCCTGCTTCTCCCTCTCCCACTCCCCCTGCTTGTGTTCCCTCTCTCGCTGTGTCTCTGTCACATAAATAAAATCTTTAAATAAATATATGCTTCCTACAGACTTTTTGTTCCATCAGCACTTAAGGCAGTCATATTACAGTATGGTTGACTAGATTATAGATTTTACATTCTGTTCCTGAGGATATACTTTCTTTAACTTGACTGAACTTGGATGTTTCCCAAGACTCCATACACTTCACACAATATCACTTTCAGTGGATGCCTGCTATAGACAGTTAATCTCCATTTTAGTTGCTCTTAAACTTGAGCATAGAGATCACTGGGGAAATTTATTAAAAGTGCAGATTTCAAATTTGAACCCCATGCATTCAGCTTAAGTAGATCTGGGGATTGGACTCAGACCTATAGTCTTAGTTCTTATCCACAGAGAAACATCATATATGTGTGGATTCTTCAGTTTTATTTCCAAGGGCAACTTTATCACTAAAGTCTGTGATACTCTAAACACTAATAATAAGAGGTTTGGTTTTAAAACCTTGGCAAGTTTCTTAAGTACCCATAACCAATTTTTAAAACAGTCCAAATTTTTACATTTAACTCTTGCTTTTATTTTCTTTGCCAAATATTCGGGGAAGCTGTGGTTATGTTGGCCATGCACAAAGGGAGTTCTCTTTGTTCCAGAACATCTTGAATATCTACTTCTTCTCCTTCTTCACAGCTCTTGTTCAAGATTTCCTCATCTCTCATCTAGACGGTCCCAGATTTCTTCAGACTCTCACCCCATCCCCTCTTTCCCTGGGTGCAAATTGCTGGTGAAGGTGATGGTAGCTGTTGTAGGATGTGAGGTAGAGGGAATCACATGGTCATAGGCATCTCAGAAAAGTCATTCTGACAGGATGGAAGATGAATTAGATGGGAGTATCAGTCTCGAGGAAGTGAGTGAAGTTTAAAAAAAAAAAAGCTAGTATTAGAAGGAAATATGAAACTTGGAAAACAAGGAAATTTCCTATTGCTTTTATAATATAGAGTATAGAATATAATGTTTGAGCAAATAGAAGCAATAGAAAAGGTCTCAGTTTCTTAGGACATGGTTCTATCTCTTGCCATTCTCACACCTGTGTGCTGTGTTCCAGCATATACGTGCAGCAGCATGTCTTTGCACATACTGTTACCCTTTTTTGGATGCTGCCTCACTTTTAATATTTATTGAATACCTTTTATGTGCCCTCATTAGGACATGAAGATACAGTGGTGAACAAGATTAAATTGGTCCCTGTCCTAATAGAGCTTACAATTTAATGGGGCTCGGGAATGAGATACCAAATAAAAACCCACATGATAGTATAATGGTAATTGGAAAAAGTGTTAGGAGAAGTGCTATGAGTGGATAGAAACAGGAACCTAGCCTAATCTAGAAGTTCAGGAAAGTTCCACCTGAGGAAATGACTTTTCAGCTGAGACCTGAAGGATTAGTGGGAATTAACTAGAAAACTGGGGAGTTGGGAAGAGAGTGTTTATTTGGGGGTAGGGGGAAACACTTTGTCATTAGTGCCTGAGACAAGGAGGAATTATCAGGAAATTCAAAGGAGGTCTGAGTGATTGGAGGAGATGGCAGAGGCCTTATAGTTTACAGTGATGTTTTTGTACTTTATCCAAAAACAGTGGGATGTTAGTGAGGGGTTTTAAGGATGAAGGTGAGGAGTGTGGCTATGTGTTCAGATTAATATTTGAAAATGATGACTTGGGCTGTTGTGTGGAGAAGGCATTGTGGGGTTCAAGATAGAAACCAGTGGACTAAATAGGCTGTCATATAGACTTGTTGGAACCCATTAGTTCAGGGCAGAGATGATGACAATCTGGACCCCAGGGATTTAGGACTGAAGATGGGAGAAATGAATGGATTGAAGACTTACTTCATAGCTTGAATTGATAGGAGTTAGTGAGAGTCTATGTGGAGTAAGAAAGAAAAGGAGATCTCAAGGAGGACTCCTAGATTTCTGGATTGAATTAGGTGTGTATAATAGTTATTTCTGTTGAGACTGAAGGGGATGCCAAAGGACCTGGTTTGGAGGGAAAGGTCAACGCTGTTTTGAAAATTCTTTCTCTGTGGATTCTTGTTTTTTACCTTAGAAACCCCCAGCCCCACCAGATTCTGCTCAAGGTGGCCTTACCTGTGAAATCACTCTAAAGGTTTCCGCCTGCCCCATCTCCCATAGGGCAGTAAATTGTGCTCTTGGTATGGTCTTCTCTTAGTACTTATTTCTCTGTTTTATACTTATGCACCTGCCTATCTCTTACCAGACTTGATTTCTTTGTCAAGAACTTTCAAATAACTCATACTAGTTTGGTGATTCTAAAATATGGATAAATATTTCTTCAGGTGTTTTCCACTGAGTTATATATGTTAACATTTCTTTTATCTTAAATCCAGGTAATGCTGGATCAATTTATTTTACTGCAGAACTTTTCCCAGCCTTTTGTATTCTAATGTGGATTGTGAATGTCTGGGAAGGTCATAAGGTGTGCAGTATTTTCCAGTATTATTTAGTTGTCTCCCCCCTCCCTGCCCCCAACAGCCTTTGTTTTCTGAGCATCTCATGTTACTAGTGTTGAGGGTAAGAGATGGGGATAGGAGTTTTCTTTGGGAAAGGCTGATTTGGGTGTGTGCCTGTCACAGAGTAAGCATATAACTCACTGAGTGTGGACTCCGTGAAAAGCAAACCTGACAGTTGGGCGAGTACATTTCTGGATGTCTTTGGAAAGGTCATTTTGCCTATAGTTGCTGCAGATCTATTTCTTTTACCCCCAGTGATCAAAACAGACATCAAGGGATGAGAATTTACTGCCTATTGTTTGTTCCCCCCAGGCTAAGAAAGCTAGGTGACATGAGGTGACAAATTTTATTCTGTTTCTTTGTAGCTAATCTGGGAAGAGCTGAACAAAAAGTTCTTAGATCCTTTTATTTATTAACTCCCAACATCAAAATAGTGCCTTTCTTATACCACCTGGGTTGTTCATAAAATAAACAGTTATATTAGTAGCCATTTTTTGGTAAAAGAAATAAATGTTCAGTATTTTTATAAGGCTATTTATATTCTGTTTTAGAGTTGGCTGTAGTGACACAGAAACTAGGTTTCAGGGAAATATCGACGGGACAGACTAAATGGGGAAGACACTTCTTTTTTTGAAGAGTATATGAATTCATTTTAGAGGGGAGTTCTTTTTTTCAGAAGTTAAAGTGTTCAAGACAGTTCATTTTTAGAGTGTAACCTAATGGAAAGTTTTATCAGGAACTCACTGACTCAGACAGGAAATATATTTGTTTTTAAACTTAGATTTTATTTTGTAATGCCGGATGGCATTATTGTGTTACGTTTATGAACAGACTCGAACTGCTGGCATCTTTCCTACGGTCACGTGGAATGGGTAGATGCCTTTGCTGTATAAACTCTATTTGGCTAAAGAGTTAACAATGAACATAATTTTTTGAGTGATATAAAATACTGCCTAGATTAGTAGGGTAAAAATGTCATAACCACATCTACATCTGTACTCCCACATCTTAATTTATGTATTCTCATTTATTCGTTCCACCGGTTATTACTCCAAATGTTTATTCCCAAATTGGATTACTTTGGAGTGGCAGGGAAAACTTGATCATCTTTAGTCCTGCTGTCAGAGAGGTTATCAGCCTTTGTTATCAGTTTAATATTCCCTCTGCTGTCAAGGCCATCCAGCCTGAACCTTTGAGCAAATAAAAATCTGTGACTAAAGATTACTTTTCCATTTATTTTAAGAAATGTCTGCGGACAGGAAAAATAGCTGCTGAATACCCTTAGTAGCAGTGATAGGGACTCTATGAGTAAAAGGTGGTGATTTTTAGCAGCGAAAACAGCTGTAATTTTTTATGCTTCCTCCTGAGTATCAATCCAGTTATTTCTGTGCTATGTATACCTTTACACAAAAATGATGGTATTGTCTAGGCTCTGAAATCTGCAGTCGCTTATCCTATTGTAAAAATCACAGTTCAGGATACGTTTTTTTTTTTTTTTTTTTTTGTATGATTCACTCTACACTTTGGCTCCTAATAAAGCATTTGTTGTCCAAGAAAATAATTTTAACTGTAGAAACTTCCACATTTGTTTCAGGTCGGTCTTCTCTCTTTCCCTTTGAAGATGCCTTCCTGGACGACAGTCACGGCGATCAATCCTTGTCATCTGGCTTAAGTTCTCCCACTCGTTGTCAAAATGGAGAACGAGTAGAACGTTACTCTAGAAAGGTGTTTGTTGGAGGCCTTCCTCCTGATATTGATGAAGGTACGATGCATTCATTAATGACTTTATAAAAGCCAGGTTTGTTCTTTGTGTGATTTGACCCTGCCTCTCCTCTCCAAGAAGCTTTGGAACATTCCTATTTTAGTGTTTGGAGGATGAAAATATTTGATAGATGGGGAAGTAATAGATGGTGCATTTCAAGTCTGCTCTTCAAATGTGTTCATACAGGGCAGTCTCCCAGCAGCTTCATGTTTCCTAGTCATTAATTTGGGGACAAGCTGTAAAATAATAATGAAAGTTAATATTTATGAAATTCTTTATAAGCCCATAATTGTGCTAAGCGCTTCACATTACATTATCTCTTTTAATCCTTATAGCTATCCTTTAAGGCATATCCTACCAACTCCATTCTATAGATAAGGAAACTGAGGATCAGAGGGAGACAGTTCGTCCAAGGTTATATAGCTAATGGTGCAGCTGGCATTCAAAATTAGTCTGATTCCAGAGCTTTTGCTCATGTTCATCACACTATCCCATCTCATATTTTAATATAGGTCTCTATTAATGAAAAGCCCCTTGCCTTAAAAAGAATAAAGACTAATTAGAATTTTTCTTAATAATGTTCTTGAGGTACTGTCGGTCCAAAAGCAAGTTTTCAATAATGCCCAAAGCCAATCAGCACATAGTAGGTTGTCAATATTTGTTGAACAGATGAATGAAATAAAATTGTGACAGTTACCTTAAGGGAAGAAACAACAACTCTAGTTCTAGTAGGCTTTGGATCTGCTATAAAAATGTTATTAAAACAATTGTTTTGTCAACATTGTTCTAGTTGTGACATTTCTCTAGTTTATCATGATTTTCTTTTTTCATGATGAAAAAGGAATAGTCTAAAAATAGTTTTATTTAAGGGCGCCTGGGTGGCTCAGTTGGTTAAGCGACTGCCTTCAGCTCAGGTCATGATCCTGGAGTCCCAGGATCGAGTCCTGCATCGGGCTCCCTGCTCGGCGGGGAGTCTGCTTCTCCCTCTCCCACTCCCTGTTTGTGTTCCCTCTCTCGCTGTGTCTTTCTCTGTCAAATAAATAAAATCTTAAAAAAAAAAAAAAAGTTTTATTTAAGACTTATTGCTTTAAAGTTGTATAGAGCTGGAGACTCATTTTCTTCCAAACTGCTCTCATATTAGTGTTAATCTCATCTATCAATTGGATTTTTTTTTAAGACAAAGTTTAGGTCATGGCTGAGAGAGTAGCAACTTAAATCTGAGTGGGAGCTAAATTATAACCTGCTTTGAGTCAGGAGTCAGAAGGAAAAGGTAAATTTATTGAGCTATAACTTTGGGAACATTTTCTTTATAGGATATGTAGTAGGGGCACCTAGGTGGCTCAGTCGGTTGAGCCTCTGCCTTTGGCTTGGGTCGTGGTCCCAGGGTCCTCAGATCGAGCCCCATGTCGGGCACCCTGTTCAGTGGGGAGTCTGCTTCTCCCTTTCCTTCTTACTGCCCCTCCCCCCGCTTGTGCACACTCTCTCTTTCTCTCTCAAATAAATAAAATCTTTTTTAAAAAAAAGAATAACCAAATGTGCCCCGCAAACAATTGTATTTCACTTAGTAGGTTTGGCTTCTGTAAAAATGCTTTAGAAATAGTTCTCAAAATATTTTTTAAATAAAAAGACATGCTTTATGCTATTCTGTTTGCAATATTTTTTTTTCTCTTGCTAAGATTGCTTCTTTATTTTGTAGATGAGATCACTGCCAGCTTTCGCAGGTTTGGACCTCTCGTTGTAGACTGGCCTCACAAAGCTGAAAGCAAGTCGTATTTTCCTCCTAAAGGTAATGCACTTAAAATGTCTCCACTGCCTGCCTGTTGGAGAGCTGGCATGACATTCAATAAAAGACAGCCTTTTACTTCTTGAAATAGCAGTTGGCTTTTTTTCCCTAATTAAGAAAATATTTTAATGTTGATCATCTTTTTGTGTCTTACTGTTTTCATTTGGAAACTATTCCCCCAGGAGCACACTGATTATTTCAGGGCATCTCTTGTACTGACAGTGAGATCCTGTGCATCCGTTGTGAATGAGCCTTGTGCTAAATTTTCATTATTTGAGAGAAAAAAATCTAGGGGTTTGAAGAATGTCAGTGATGGGAGAGGAAAAGATTATTTAGAGTCAAATTTTATTTGTATCCCATAGTCCTGTAGTTTTATAGATCTTATAAACCCCAAACTTGGAAAACCTAGTGGCTGAAAAGTGACATTGTATGAAATTACCTTTATTCATGTCTGTATTTTAAGTGACTTTGCTTGTTGAGGGGTGGTGGGCAAACTAGCAAAGAACTCTTCACGTGAACTCATCCCTTATGTTTGGTAGGCTTTTTTTGATAATTTACGAAGACATGAAAATATATTACTTTGTTCATAGTTTGTCATTTCTGCAGAATTCAGGGAACTTTTCTAGTTATGTTAACTCTGGGTAAGTTCCTAGAATCATATAGAAGAGTGTTTTGGGTTAAAAAGGAAGTTTTCTTCATGTGTTATATACTGTAGCTATGTTTCAAGGGTGTCTTTTATCTCTAAAGAATTGGGTTTTTTTGATATACATTATTATGTAACATTAGTCACCACAAGAAGATGGAGTCAAAATACCCTTCCTGTGCTTCGTACAGGAATGAAATTATAGCTTAACTTGGGAAAGGCAGGTGGCTTCGTCTTATGTCTGGTTTCTTTGCCACCTATATTTCTCCCCACTCTCTCTATAACCTATGAAAAGCAGTTACTCACTTAAATAGAGGCTGTTTGTTTACTTTTAACATTTCCTTTTTCATTTTCTCCAAGAATTTTTAAAGTTAAGTAAGTTTTGGGGCACCTGAGTGGCTCAGTTGTTAAGCGTCTGCCTTCGGCTCGGGTCATGATCCCAGGGTCCTGGGATCGAGCCCCATATCAGGCTCCCTGCTGCGCGGGAAGCCTGCTTCTCCTTCTCCCACTCCCCCTGCTTGTGTTCCCTCTCTCGCTGTGTCTCTTTCTATCAAATAAATAAAAAATCTTTAAAAAAATCATTTTTATAAAAAAAAGTAAGTTTTATATTAATCAGAAAAGATAAAAATCACCATGTTGATTATTCCACTGAAGGAATGTGTTCACTACTTTGTAGTACATGTGGACACTATGTAAAGACACATGTTTAAAACGTGTTTCTAAGAGTGCTAATAATTCCTTGAATCGGAGTAGTATTATTTCAGTGAGCCAAGTGAGTTCACCACGCTGTGCTGTAGGTTGTATGCTCTGTAAGGTCACATGTATAAAAAGTACAAGTTGCACATGAGCATCAAGACATGTTATCTCAGTGAAAGAATGTGTTCACCACACTGTGGTGCATGTAACACACTCTGTAAAATTACATAGATAAGAGATATTTCTAAGAGTGCTAGTGAAAAAAGTAAACATCATGCTGAGAAGGTTATAGAAACAACTCTGGGATAAAAGGTGTCAGGTGGGGCGCCTGGGTGGCTCAGTCGTTAAGCATCTGCCTTCAGCTCAGGTCATGATCCCAGGGTCCTGAGATCGAGTCCCACATCGGGCTCCCTGCTCTGCGGGAAGCCTGCTTCTCCCTCTCCCACTCCCACTGCTTGTGTTCCTGCTCTTGCTATGTCTCTCTCTGTCAAAAAAATAAATAAAATCTTTAAAAAAAAAAAAAGGTGTCAGGTGATCATCATTAAAAAAATGAAGATACACATATATAGTTGTGTCCGAGAAAATTATCGCAAACCTACCTCTATGAGACATAATCACTGTATACATTTTATTAAATTTCCTTCTAATGTTCTCTTTATGAATATGAACATTTATATGAAAATTTGCATTTTACATAAATGGGATCACACTGTACCTGCTGCTCAATAACCTGCATTTCCCCCTCTTATATCTTTGTGTAAGAGACCTACATAATTTTAATGACCTTATTTTATTTTATCTGTCCTATTGATGGACACTTAAGTTGCTTCTAGCTGTTCCTTCTCATGGATCATGCTTCAGTGAATACCCTGTGCCTTCATCTTTTTGCCCTTTATCATTGCCTCTTAGGGTGAATTTCCAGAAGTGAGGTACATATTTATACAGATTGCAAAGCTGCCCTTAAGAAAGGTCATATACGTTTATATTCCCACCAATAGTATCTGATTTGTAAACCAGAGTTATTGAGTCTGAGGAAATGACTCTCTTTCGATCTTTGCCAATCTGATGGTTAAAATAACATCCCCTTCCCCTTTTTTTGACATTCGTTTCTCTTTACTGGCCTTTGAATGTATTTTACTTTTTTAGATTGACTTCTCATTTCTGTCTGGACTTCATATTGGAGTAAGGCACAAGAAGAGATCCAGTTTTCTTTTTCCTAGTAGCATGCCAGTCTTCTCAATAGTCATTTATTGACTAATACATTTTTTTCCTCATCAATTTGAGTAAATAAGTGTAAGAAAAAAAAGAAAGAAGTGTTGATTGGAAGGTTATCTCTTCTGTTTCTCAGTGGAGTGCACAAGTTTCTCTGGAACCGCTCTGTCCAGAATGATAGCTACTAGCCACGTGTAGCTAATGAGCGCTTGAAACATGACTGATTTGAATTGAGATATGCTATAAGTGTTAAATATACACTGGATTTCAAAGACTTAGTTTTAGAAAAAGGTAAAATATCTCACTAGTAATTTTGTTTTCATGTTAGAATGATAATTTTTTGATGTATTGCATTAAATAAAATATATTAAAATGAACTTCATCTGTTTCTTTTTACCTTTAAAATGTAAATATTAGAAAATTTGTGTGTGGTTTTTTTGGTGTTTTTTGGTTTTGTTTTGTTTTGTTTTGAAAATTTTAAGTTACATATGTGACTCATCTTTCTATTGGAAAGCACTTTTCTAGAACAGGAATCCGCAAACTACCTGTTTTTATATGGCCTGTAAGCTAAGGATGGTTTTTATATTTTTAAAAGTTGTAAAAATACACATGCAAGAAGAATGTGTAACAGAGACTATATGTGACCCTCAAACACCTTTGCAGAAAGTTTGTTGCCTCCTGCTTTAAAACAGTCTTTGGAGCTACTCATGTAGCTTTCGAAACATCCAGTGACAAAGGAGGCAGTTTCTTTTAGAGGAAGTCTATATATTTGCTAGACCTAGCTAATTCTTTTTTTTTTTTTTTTTTTTTAATTTTTTTTTATTTATTTGTGAGAGAGAGAATGAGAGACAGAGAGCATGAGAGGGAGGAGGGCCAGAGGGAGAAGCAGACTCCCCGCCGAGCAGGGAGCCCGATGCGGGACTCGATCCCGGGACTCCAGGATCATGACCTGAGCCGAAGGCAGTCGCTTAACCAACTGAGCCACCCAGGCACCCTAGACCTAGCTAATTCTTAAGTTTCAACTGAGTCAAGTGCTTCCCTGCAATCTTTACCCTTCTGATCAATTGTGTCCTATAAAGTAAAGTAGAATAAATTATCATTGTGACCTCTATCTCTTGGTACTTAAAAGACTATTAGTTTCTCTTTAAGTCTTCTCTTTTCAAAGATAAACATTTTCACTTCTCTCAGTCATACCTTATGTCTAATGGTTTCTGTATCACCCAATTTGTCTGCCTTTTCTGTATATGTCATATTTACAATATCCTACTTAAATTTGTTAGTAAGAATTGAAGAGAAAACATTTGGGTTGGTATGAGCAGTACAAATTTTAGTAATTCTGTTAACTCCATGGTTTTTGGTGCCATTCCTGTATAATAGCATAATAATATAGAACTGTTGAACATTATATCTGGTGCCTTTATTTTACAACTGAGGTTAAGTGTTGAGATGGGCCATTGACAGCAAGGCCAAGAGGAAAATCTAGATATCCCAATTCTGGTCCACAGGCTTGCATCCTTGCAGAGCAGATTGCCTTCCCTGTGATTAGGGGTTAGGAAGAGAAATAATTATTATACTGCTGGCTCCTTTTGTGTTTTGTCTTTCAGCTAAAGTCTGAAGGTTGACCTGTTTTGGGAGGACCTAAAGAGATTTGGTGTCATTTCAAGATTGAAGTAACTTTGAGAATCCATGCCCATTGCTTTGAATGTTGGGAACATCTAAGGAGTTCATCCCATCTGTTCTGTGCCTTCTTAATAATGCCCCCTTGCTATTTCTACTTTTCCTGAAGTTCCTTAAGTTTTAATTCAGGTCCATGCCTTCTTGGAAATGCCCTTCATACTGAGTGTACTTTTCTTTAGGTTACCTTAAGTTGGCTGTTAGGTACAGTTTGTTTGGCTGTCCATTTTGGTTTATGTGTAAGTAGAAAGGAACCATCCACTATTGAGCCCTTTCGCCTTTTCTCAGAAAGAATATGTCTAATGAAATACACATTCATTCATCTGGCAGGTTTACCTGTACAGATACAGGGTAGGGTTTGTAAAACCATGGCCATTTCAATGGACTGTGGAGAGTTTAAAATCCATGTAGAGAAACAGTGACCAGGCACATCAGTTGTCCCTTTAAGTGTTGTTGGGCCAACACAGTGGGAGGTAATGGAGTCTGGGGCTCTCTCCAGCACAAAGACCACTGAGGTATTTGATCAGCCATTTGAGGATATGCAAAGTCCTGTGGATCAGTTTGTCTGTAGGCCACAAGCAGGTAGTTGCTTGTTGTTCTCCAGAGCAATAATGAGAGCATGAAAGGTGGAGGAAGGCATGGAAGTTCAGAATGTGTGTTTTCATAATTTGGTCTCAGACCTCATAAATTATAGTCCTGTGGGGAAAATAAGAAATTAGTCAACTAGTCAAAAAATAAACACAATTACAAATTGTGATAGTTCTGTAAAGGATAAGTA